CTTATTTTGTTGAAGATTCCTTTCATCCTTTCTTCTCAGGAATTCATTCTTTATTTCCATGCTGAGAAAGAGAAAGAGGGAGGGAGGGAAAGAGAAATTTGTTTGTTTTTTAAAGTTAAAAATTAGGTCTGAATGTCCAAACATCTTGAGATAAAAAGCAGTTGCATCAAAATCAAAATAGCAGCAGTAACATTTTGGGTACTTGGCTAATATGAAAAAGGGGGAGAAGTAAGGAAATTGTGTTGTTGTTAGTATTATTGGTTTTTTGAGACAGTCTCACTATGTAGCCCAAGTTGGCCTTGAACTCACTGTGTAGCACAGGCGGCCCTCAGACTTGTGGCAATCCTCCTTGCCTTAGCTTCCTGAATGCTGGGACTGTAGGCATTTGCCACCATACCCAGCAGAAAATTTAAATAATAATGTTAAGAATAAAGGTATTTTTCTGTTATGTAGATTAATTTTTTTAGAATTATGAAAAGATGAGAGAGAGGAGAGGGGAGGAGTGACAATGTGAGTTTCTGCTGCCCTAGGCCTCGTGGGGAGTTCAGTCTGGCTGAGTCAGGTAGAGCTGTAGGTCACTCTGAGCTCACGGCTTGATGAGCGCTCTTGGTTTGGGAGGTTGAAGCCCAGGAAAAGCGTGCTGACTGTTGGCTGTTTTTCTGGAATGGCATTCTTCCAGATCTCCAGGGTTTCTGCAGTTGGTGCTTCTGGTATATGATTTGAGAAGTGGGTAATGGACAGGAGGGACAGAGGCCATTGGGACTCCAACATGTGCTGGACAGCTGATTCGGGCAGGTTAGTTGCCTTGTGGGCATACTTAATATGAGCAGAGGCCTTGGAATAGAATGTCTGACCAGTGGTGCTTCTCCATGAAACCTGAGGAAGAGAAGTACGCATATTACCCTGAGGACACTGCTGGTCAGAGTATGATTGCTCTCCACGGCCACCACATACCACAAGACCCCTCCTTCAGTACCTCCTTTGGTCCTGGGCCTCAGTGCAGACCTTTGTGTGTGCTGACTGAGGAATATTTTTTAAATATATGATACAGCTACTGGCATATTTCAATAAGGACTAAAGAAAGGGGCACAAGCCTTTAGTTCTTCTTACAAGAAACAAATTTTGTCAGTCTGCCTGCATCACCTGTATCACCTTCTGACCCCAGAGGCAGGGAGAGAGGCTGGGGTTGGAGACATTAAGAGTGGTTGGGGGTCTGGGATGGGTTACGGCCTGCAGAGGGATTAATGTGCTGGTAAAAGTAATTTGCTAATAAGGAAAAGTTATTGGCTTGTTTTTTTGAGTTATGAAATAAGTCTAAATGTATAAACATTTGAGGTAGAAAGCAGTTATATAAAAAAGGCCACAATAATATTTTAGGCCAATATGAAAAAAGGAGAAGTAAGGAAATTTTAAATAACTACATTAAAGGTATTTTTCTTTCATGCAGATTAAGTTTTTTATAATTATGAAAAAAGGCTATTGTATATCTTTTTTACATGAAAGCAAAATTCGTTGTTACGGTTAATGTTATGTATTAACTTGAGCAGGCTGGAAGTTACCTCAGATTTGTTCAAACAGTTTTCTGGATGTTTCTGTGAGGGAGGAAAAGATCAGTGGATTGCTGAATGCTGGTTGCCCTCTGTAAAGTAGACAAACCTCATCCAGTCAGTCAAAGGTCTGAGTAGACCTAAAAGTTGACTCTCATGTGAGAGAAGAGAGAATTCCTACTGCCTAACTTTGGGCCAGATCTCTTGATGCACTGCCTCTTTGAATCTTTCTCTTGAAAGTTTTAAAACTGTGCAAACAAATTCTACACACACACACACACACACACACACACACACACACACCCTACTGGTTTTATTTCTCTGGAGAACTCTATTTTATCTGTGGAATGATTCAATTACGTGGGTATGGTTCACTGAGTCAAGTTGTGGGATGTCAGGAAGTTTGGGGTGTGTATACTTAATACTTGCATATGTTGTAGATGTAGTACTTTAAGTGTATGGTGAAGAGAACAAGAATTCCTGATATTCAGTTGAAAATTCTAAGAATATGAGACCCATTTATTGACCATGGAGAACTGGAAACTATTTTGTAGATGAAAATACAGCTGTTAACTTTGCCCATTGGAAACCTCAAGGAAAAGGGGTTCACAAGGCAGTAGGGACTGCCCGTGGGGTACAGGGGAACTTTCTGGAGCCAGGGTCTTCCAGGCATGTGCACAGAGCTTCTTTCTTCCAAACTCTGGGAAGCCAGAGAGAATCTGTGCTGGATCTTGCATGGAGTGGCCTCTGCAGTGGCCTCACCACCTCCGCCTACACTGAGTCAGGGGTGTGTGTGTGTGTGTGTGTGTGTGTGTGTGTGTGTGTGTGTGCATACACGAAGTCATTATCAGGACTCAGCCTTTCAAAAAGTCCACAGGCTGTTACCCTAAAGAACAGTCGTGTGGTAGCACAGGACTGCTAAGAGCTGATTCACAGTAATCTCCAGACCGAATTTGTAGTAATGACATGTGCTCTCTCCATCAGTATTCTTATTTTCTTTTTTGATGGGGATCGAACATGGTGCCTTGGGCTTGCAAGACAAGCGCTCTACATTTATCCACATCCCAGCCCTTTTACTTTAAATGTAGATGCCACTTGTAATAAAAATTGGGATGGGGCAGAAGGCTACTATTTTTTGTTATAAGCCTTAGAATTTCAAATAGTGTAATGTGTAGCTTTGAGCAAAATAGAAAATATAAAAATAAAAACTTCTGCTGCTTATTTTTTTGCTACAAGTAATATACACTAATGCGGCAAAATCCAGAAAATCTTTCCTCAAAAAGCCACTATCTGGATATATTACTGATGGCTTTTGTTCCACATTCTTCTCAGTATAGTCATACATATATTTTATCATTGCATATTAATTATACTGAATTATAGGTTTCATTGTGACATATTCAGTCATGCATGTTATACTTTGTTCTTAACTACCTCCTGTTTTAAAAAAGCAAAAATGGATCATGTTAGTTTGTTTGTAGGACTGAAAAGTATGTCTTTAGATAACACTAAGTGCCTAAGAGTATTTATCTGACACCCTGTGAATTATGATGGTTTCTAAGTGAGAATTTCAGTAATAAGTACTTTAGGTAATAAGAATGTTGGTTATAGCAAGTGGGTCTTGCAAACAGCAGGGGCCAGAATTTAAATACCTGCAGGACTTTATACCTCTTCTTTTTGATTTCTTTTTTGTTCATTCTTCTCTCTTACTGAACACTGGTGAAAAATACTAGGAAGAGTTGTGGGGCTTCACTCCTTTCCATGTTGCCTTTTCAAGGAAATGTAGCCCTTATTTTTGCAGACCAGGACTCTCTGGATTGTTGGTGGTGGGTAGCAGTGAGAGGTTCCTGTGGAAGCCTGGTGCTGGAGGGACAGGACCCGTTAAGGGGACAGTCAAGGGAGGGAGGATTCTGAGTAGAGGAGAAGTAATGTCTTCTGGGGGGCCTGTTGATTAACTACACTCTAAAGAGCACATGCCAGCACTCACCCCTGTGAGCAGCACATGAGCTACCTGTGGGCTGACAGCCTTTCCAGCATGGGGAATTATCACCAGAAAGAAAAATCTCTGCTGATTTGCATCTAGCAGGAGCTTCCTGTTTGTTCAAATTTCTGCCAGGTGGCAAACCCCAGCACCACTCTCAGGAGCGCTTTCTGCTTCTGTGTGCCTGAGAGATAACACTCACCCGATGTGGGGTGAGACTCATTTTGAAGGTGGCCCAGAGTCATCATGTCTGACTGAATGACGTCCTATGCTGCCTCTTACTGGCACAGGGATGATGATTACACAGGAATACACATGAAGGATCGCACAGTGATAGTGAAACCACATGACCCACTGGGTGGCTTAACCTAGATGTTTCCCCGAGGAAGGACTGTGGTAATATGAGGCACAGCAGTGCAGGACAGGATGCCCAAGTCTTTGATTTTGGTTTATTTTTTACAAAAATGAAGTGATCGAACTTGTGGGACTTTAGCCAGAGAGATTAAGACCGTTCAGAGTATTAGGAAGTGTGTTTTCTTAAAAATTCTCTCTTTTCAGTGGTGAGTGGGGGCAGAAATACATTTGCCCCCTTCTGGTTTTACAAAAATGAAACAGACTTGAAGTAGTGTTCTCCAGAGAAGCCAGCGTGCCACTTTACCTTTGGATGTAGACTGTAACTAGAATGACTTTCATCTTGTGGCCCTCACAAATTTGGTCAACACTTCTGTACCCCCAGCATTGGGGAGGCTGAGGCAGGATGCTTGCCATGAGCTCCGGAGCAGCTACATAGTGAGTTTAAGGCCAGACTGTCTCAAGGAATAAAAAAAAAAAAAAAAAAAAAAAAGGTTTGGCGAAGGAGTTTGGATGGGAATAAGTATCTCATGTTCCCCATATACCTACCAGAAGTCAAAATTGCTTCTCCACCCTCCCAGTAGGTGGGAGGTGGCTGGGTGTGCTCCAGATACAGTGGAGTGTGGCTTTGGCTTCTTTAGAACATAGAGAAAGACATTATTTGGCCTTAAGCCTTGTCCTGTTCAGTGTCATCAATTATCAGGCATTTTACCATCTGAGAGTGACTCTGTCTTTGCTGTGCTCCTGGCTGTCTCAGCTATTGCTCATCTAATCTTTATGTACTTGACCTCTGACCCCCACCCGTACTGCCCGTGGTAAGTACTCCTAGGCAGTACTGACCGTGCCATAGTATTTTCATGTGCCTTAACCTTTCTGTGCTTTTGGGGGTCTTCCAGGTGACTGCTTCATGACTGTGCTTCCCGATCATCCTGCTTCTACTCCTGCAGGTGGATATCTACCTCTTGGGGAGGCTCCATTGTACCACACAACTGAGGAGGAAGAGAGAAGCGGCCACTCCCTCCCTTTACAATTGCTTGCACCAATGTGCTGCAATCAGTGAGCAGGACTGCACTGGAACTAGAAGTTACACCACCCCATAGTTTGTGTGTAGAATAAACACAGAAGATGATTGTTTATTAAGAAGTTTTTATAGGATACCAGTTTAATTTCAGGAACATTGCCATAGGTAAAACCTCTTGAGATCTTGTTATGTACCCAGTAATAGTTTCAGGCCTTAACATATATTTTCATTTCATTTGCATGAATACTCTATAAGCTACTGTTATCAATATCCCCACTCTACTGCTGAGAAAGCATAGGTCCAGAGAGGTCAAGAAACCCAAGCAAGGTAGCACAGCTGGTAAATAGGGAGCTGGGGCTTGAACCCAGGTGGTCTAGTTCCAGCACACCTCACAGCTCTGCTCTGAACTGACCTTTGGTGTCCATACTCCATGGCTGTCAAATACAGGAGGACATGTGGCTGTAGACTGGGTCATGAGAGCACGTATTAACCAAAGCTTCTCAGGCAAGATATTTCTTTAAGAAGGTAATGTGTGCCTCATATTTTTGCTACAGTCTAATAATGCGGAGTAGAACGAGCACAGTTTACCTGCTAGTGGAATTAATGGATGGAATAAAAGTAACCTGAAATAAAGTTTTATGCTTTGAGTACTCCTATGTTTTTAAAATTCGGCCCTTCCATTCCAGGTATGAATACCTCTGGACAAGGGCTTGTCCTCATGCTAAAACCATATACAAGAGCAAAATGACAGCAATGACCATTTCCTATATTTGACTATTATTTAAAAAAAAAATCTTACAGCACTTTGAGGTATATGTCATGGTCTCTATTTTACAGATGAGAAAATAAAGGGTTATTTGAAGTTAATAACATGGCAAATACATCCTAGGCATACTTGGTGGGCTATGTAAGAATTATGTCTTGGTACTTGCTGTGATCTGACCTGCAATTCCATTGAACTGTGCCATAGTTAGAAGTCTAGTTTCTTTACCGAGGCCACTGACAGCCTTGCCTTCCCTGTCTGCCCTCCAAGCCTGAGTGTCCTCCCTTGGCTGGCCAGGGCTGTACAGACATCATCGTTAAAGCTGTTCATGTCAAGGGTACATAGTGGCTCTAGTTGGCCACAAAACCTTTATGTGTTGAGCACCTTGCTTTCTTTTGAACCTGGGTCTTCTATTTTTCTGCCTTCCTTGGAATCATGCAGGTATGATGATCAGCTAACAGTTATTTTTCACATGGAAAATTTTAGCAGATAATTTCATCTGTAGGCGAATCTCTTCTATTTCTCCAAGAACTGGGCATTGCCAGCCCTGCTGTAGCTGGTTGAAGGGGACCAAACCTCTCAGGAAGACGGACTTGGTTCCGTTTGACCAGCCAGAGCAAGGGGCAGCTCCCTCATGAGGTGTGGTAGCCTCTAGAACAGATATTGGAGAGTCCACTGTCCCTCGTCCAGGCCTGTAACACAGAGAGAATCAGCATTAGCGCATACCAAACCCCGGGAGCTGGCCTTGCTCAGAATGTCTTCTTCCAGCAACCACAGATAATTTGTGACTTTGACACATACTTTGTATTTTGCATTGTATGGTTTCAATATATTGCATTTCATTTTAAATTCTTTTTTCAAGTAAAAACATTATGAAGAGTAAAAATGATGTTGAATTATAGACTATGGAAAAGACAGAATCCATAACTCTTCCTTTTCTCATCTTCCAAAATAAATTTAACATTTTAGTGTACATTCTTTGAACACCTTGCATTTTTAAAGTTTTTTAATTCAAGTATGACACATTTATGGGAGACTGTATACAATACATATGTCTATTTAATGCATGTGATTATCCATCAAGATGTTAAATTTATTTTAGAAGATGGGAGAGAATTATGGGATTCTGTCATTTTCCTTACCTATAATTCTATATAATTTCTTTCATGCTATTTCCACTTACAAAAAGTGTTTATTAAATAAAATAAATTAAAGTAATCATACATCATGATAAAGCTGCACTCATGAACAACCATCTTCCTTAAAATAATTTTTATTGTTCTGTACCATACTGTTGCAACTTCCTAAATAATTTCCTCATTTACCTCCTCAGGTTTCTCCAGAGATGTAACTACAATATTGTTTTATTTCTTCTTATAATTTAAATGTTTTTCTTTATAGTTTTTTGGCATTTGTGTAAAAATTTCTAAACAAACTATATATCTTAATAGCTTAATATCATCCGTACTTTATAAGTTGGTATTTTCATTTAAAATGATACCTGTAAGATTCATGCATATTGATGAGCTGCTGTAGTTTATTAATTTTCATTGTTTTATGGCCCTCTATTTTAAATATATGACAATTGGTTTATTTTTTCATTCTCACAGCCATAGCCATTGAGTTTGTTCCATTTGACAATCAAACTGATTAAACAGTTTCTCAAAGGAATGAGAAAATCTTTGATTCTTGTAGGTTTTAATGAATATGGTGTGAGAGAGCTTACAGGCTGACCTAACAAAAGGAACGTAAATGTGGCTTTTCCAGCTCAAAGCACATGCGTGAGGAAAGAAACCCGTGCAGCGACCTGCCTTGCAGATGGCTCTGAAGTGGCCAGGTTTGAGGTCCGTGGAGGTGCAGAAGTAGCCATGGGCTTCTCCCTGGGGAGAAGTGTGGTTGAGGGAGCGGGAGCAGTTTAGGGAGATGCTCCCCAAAAAGGTGGCCTGGCAGCCTTCACAATAAATGGCAGCAGACTGGGGAAGAGGGGAGTGGAAAGGATAGTTTGAATGATTCTAGGAAACTGCCTTTTCCTCTTGGGGGCAGGCATGGCTTGCCCTTCTCTTTCCTCTTCTTGATAAAGAGAAATGTCATCCAGTAGAAAGTGTATGGTGTTGGAGTCCCATTTATTTGAGTTTGGACCTCTCAGTTTTATGGCTCTTTTGCTTTCAGGAACTTTCACAACATTTGTAAATCTGTGTCATATACTGTAAGAGCTTCTGCATCTCATGCTTGGCTTACTTGCTTGTTTGGAGGCTTAGTGACAATGAAGGAAAGGGTCCCTAGAGGACACAGAGGACACTAGCAGGATGGTGGGGAAGTCCTTAAGACAATGAATTCTGACTGCTTTTGAAGCCAATGTTCCACTCGATTCCAGCCTGTCTTGTGCATGTTTCCTTTTCCTGAGCTGTGTGGATTTTCATTCATTCCTCAAATTGTTCAAAACAGTGATCAGAGAACCTAGAAGTGGCTTAGCCATTCTGCCAGATGGACTCTAGTTTGTAAGTTCTGTCTGTCCTGGATAAATAAGATTATCTAGAATGTGAACACACTCGAGAAAATACTGCTGACATGGCGTGGGGGACAGCACACTGTGATGGTGATGAGAAGGCAGGATCTGACAAAATACGACGTGGCTTTAGGATGCTCTGTGCACCGTGATTTTTGAATCTTCCTTCTTGTACCGAATTCTGCTGTACACGTCCTCCTGGCTCTGCAGTCAGTGTCTTACCTGCTCCATCCCCCTTCCCCCTGTGACACATGTGTCTCGGAGCGCTGCCAGCCCGCTCGTCCTCTGGCCAATCTCCTTGGCCCTGTCTTCCAGCTCCTCCTGGGGGAGCGTGGGGAGGCAGCTGTGGGCAGAGGGCAGCTGCGCATTGTGAAACCAGGACTGGAAAATGCGTGCCTGGCTCACAGGTCAGAACGGCCAGCCTCTTTCAGGGAAATTCTTCATTCATTCTTCCACAATCTCTCTCCCCTTTTTCACGTATGCTCTGCCCCGCCCCAGCAACAGGCCCACTCCTGTAACACACCCGAATTTCTGAGGTGAACTCAGTGTCCAGAATAGGAAAAAGAAAACAATTTTGGAGTTTAGGAAAAGGAAAGAGGTGTCATTGGAGAGAAGCACAAACGTGAGGCATTTTCTTACTCTACAAAGCACAGAGACCAAGGTCTGTAGAATAAAGGGCAGTAATTTCTTTTGGAATATGGGGTATCATGATACGCCAGGGTCAGACACCCTGTTTATTCAAAGCATCATTGTCAAAGGCAAGAGTTTTTATCCTTAGCATAGGGACCTTTTGGGGGCTGGATAAGTTTTTTGTTGTGGAGGGCTGTCCTGTGCAGTGTAGGATGTTAATAGCTTCCCTAAGTGCTGCCAGGAAACCTACAAATGTGACAACTGATAAAGTATGCAAAGTTTGTCAAATATTCTCTGTCAGGGAGACAAGTTGCCTCCAATTGATTTAAATCATTTGCTTCTGTGTTTGGTCCTATGGCCGCCTCAGCTTAGTAACTCTCTGCCTTTTTACACCTGCTCCTCTGAGAGTATATCCTTGGTGTGTCCTTGAGCACAGCTACAATTGTCTCTGAGAGAGGCCAGTGAGTAATGTCTGAAGAGCAGCTGCAGCCTGCACGGGGACACGCTGTCCAGTGTGCTGTGCATGTCTTGTCTGAGGCGATAGCACCCCAGTCCCTGCTTCCCACCCAGCAGACGGGCATGGGTTCCTTTGCCTCCCTCCGTCTCTTCCCCTGTCCTGACTCTGTGCTGCCAGTTCCGTTTCACACCTCCTATCTCTCTCCCGTGCATCTCGGCCTCTGTCCTCAAACCCTGTGGTATTCCTTTTGTGGTTCTGCTTATAGATTTGACATGAATTCAGTGAGGTGAGACTCTTGTTTTATACATGCTCACCTTGAAAACAAAGAGTCAGGGCTCCAGTGGGTAGAGGAAGCACCTGAAGCCATCCTTGGGCTCAGCAGTGGGTGGGGGCTCCTCATCCTTGTGTCTTTCTCAGAAGCTCTGTGGGGAGTGAGGCACAGGCTGTAGGCCCCCGTGGGATCTCCTCAGCTGCCCTCTGAGAGTTCAGCTCCCTCTAGGTGCAGACTCAGAGCCCTGGTGGAGCTGAGAACATAGGGGTCAAAGACAAGGTTGCTTTTCTTTTTTTTTTTCTTGTGTTACTGGGGATTGAATCCAGGGGCTTTGCACTGAGCTACAACTCTAAACTTTTTAAAATTTTTTATATTGATACAGGGTGTCCCTAAGTCACCAAGCTGTCCAGGCTGGCCTTGAAACTGTGATTCTCCTGCCTCAGCCTTGGAAAGTGCTGCTCCTGAATTGCTATTTTACCTTCTCAACATTTTCCTCCAGCATCCTTTCCAGGAAGTGGCCTCTGATCGGGCTGTGGTGGGTAGAAAGAATAGCAGAGTGAGGTCAGGAGACTCAGGACCAGAGGTGAGCTGCTCACCATCGCTGAGTTTTCAGCCTCAGGGTGTCTGCCCTTTGTCCATGGTGAAAACCCTCAGGATGCAGGAAGCACCACAGGCCCCTAGTACGGTGGTCATAAAGGAACTATGGTTCAGCTTGGTTAGCAGAAACAGCCCATTCAGGATCAACACGAATAGAGGAAGAAGCTAGAAGGATTCAGGGAAACCTTTGGGAAAAGTGTCCTCTCTCCCCCTAGTGGATGTGAGGAGGGGTTTGGGCGGTGGGCCTGGATGGGTCTTATGGGCCACAGACAGTGGCCGGAAGCCCTGCATGGACTAAGATCTCAGAAGAAGGTATGGGCTGAGCAGCCCCATGGGGCCAGAAGGACCTTGCTTATTGGTGAGGGAGTGTGGCTGGGAGCGAGGGAGTCAGCAAGCTCTTGCTCTGGGTGAGGCCTTGGGGCCATGAAGAAGCACTTGCCAAAGCCACACACTTCCTTACATTCCATAGCAAAGTAATCCCTATGGGGATATAAAGAAGCATGTGGCCTTGGGAAGCAGCGTCACCGGAAGCAGCCCAGCTCTGGGGCCACTTGCCTTTCCTCCTTACCTAGGTGGGGACATTTGAAAGGGGGACCCCTGGGACCAAACCTCATGCAAATCTACCCCACCCCCAACCATCCTGGACTAAATCTGCTGTGAGGGATGGCAGTGCTTATTGGGACAGAGCTTCTTTTCCTACTGTTTGTTCAGAAATATAAATGACAAGAAATTTTATGGACTCATTTTGGTGCAATTAACATCTAGCAAATCCATTGTCATTACCATTAACAAATTTTCTGACATTGCACTGTGAATATTGATAGGGTTCTTATTTTCATGTTTGGAATCAGCAAAGGGAAAATTAAACAGAAGAGACCCACTCTGTGTGTGTGCAGAGACCTATTTCTTGCAGAGGGTGGGCCCAGCCCTATTGTGCTTCTACTGTATGGTGCTAGTGAGCTGGGATACTGCAGCTGCCGCTCAGCATTCCAAGCACAACTGCTTATTGTTGGGGTGATTTTTTGGTTAGGTTTCTGTTCCCCCAGCCCACTCATCACCTGCCCCACAATCTGTGAGGGCTGAGCTGTAGGAGAGGGGGCACACTGACAGCTGGGAGACCCTTGGGGTCTGGACCGGCCACCCAGCTAGAGGGAGGTGGGGATTTTGGATTCATGGCATTGATTCTCTGCCAGAAAACAGGGATAAGAATGTCAAGAATTAGGCCCAAAGAAGTTTTGAGGCTGTGTTGGTGAGGGTGGCTCATGAAATTTAACAATAGCAGGTAATAAAATCTAAGAGCAATAGCAGGTAACTTTTTCAACACATTTTCTAGGTGGGATTTCCAATGTTCTATGTAGCCTCCTGGATCTTCACTACTCCATGAAGTAGTAACTATTTTATCTGGCTTTACAGATGAGGAAGATGAGAGTCATATAATCTACATAGAGGTAAAAGTAATTCCTTTAAAATCTAATTAGATTAGAGGGACGTCCCTGAGTCAACCTATGGAGAGAGGGTTGGAAGGTAAGAAGTGTTGAGAAAGAAGGAAGGAGGAGGCAGGGAAAGAGGGAAAGAAGGAAAACACAATTAGGTTCACACTCTGTGTGCTTTCTAGCATTCTGTAGCTTTGCACTGGGGGTGATACCGGTGACTTAGACATGTGGTATTCTTTAGGAAAATAGGGAAATAGCCTTGGCATTCCAGTCAAACTCTTTCTGGCTTGGAAATGGTTCAGTAACCCGTTTAATCCAAACCAATGTCTATATAAAGTTCTCTTTGAAAACAGTTTCTTCCCAGAATCAGGTACAAGTTTCAAATGAGGCTTTGGGGCTGCTCTATCTATCTCCTCCACATTTGGGGACAGTGATCTATCAAAAACACAGCTTGGGGACTATAGGAGGGGAGGGCAGGGGAAGGTCTCAGGTCAAAGAAGGAAATGTGGTAGTGCTTTTGTGAAAAGGAAAATGTCTCATGTCTTCCAAGGATCCAGAGAACTTCAGAGCAGAGACCATGTTCACTGTGACTAATAAATGTATCAGATCCAGATCCTCCGGAGGGTGTGACAGGGGAGTTGTCAGCAGTGAGGATCTATTTAGATGAGAAGAACCATTCAGTTTCGTGGTCCAGAGAACTGTAAAGAGCCAGCCTTCAGAGACTTAAAATTTCATAGCCATGGTGAAGCCCAGAAAGTGGAGAATTTATGTAAGAACATGAGTGAAGATTGTCAGGGAAAGAACTTGAGATAGCCAAGGGAGTGCTAACTATCGCATGACACTGTCCCTAGCATTTGGGTGTGAGCTGTTTTATCTTCATTAAGCCCACCCTCACAGGATCATAAGGCTGCTTGAAAATTCACTTCAAAATCTGCAGGAAAAAAATTTAAGTATTAATGTCCAATCAGGAATGGTAATACATACTGATAATTCCAGCACTCTGGGAAACTAAGAAGGAGGATAATAAGTTCCAGCCCAGTCTGGGCAAGTTAGGGACTTAGTTTGATGCTGTGTTTAAACAAAAAAGGCTCGGGCTGTATCTCGGTCTGAAGGTCCAGGGTTCACTATCTATTACCGCAAAAACAAAACAACTTTTAAAAGCCGTTAATAATCAATTACTGAACAGTTCATGAGCCCAGGAAATAAAATTCTTATCACTTTAGAATACAAAAAATTCTGAAAATAAAGAGACTGTTTGAAATGGGAATATTTACTGTAAAGGTCTTATTTAAACCCTCGTCTCTTTTCCTTAAATCAGATTTTTTTGTGTGTGTGTCTTTTTATCGGTACTGGGGATCGAACTCACGACCCCCTGCTTGCAAGGCAGGTGCTTATGCTGCTGAGCTAAATCCCCAGCCCCCTTAAATCAGATTTAAGATTTAAAAATGTAGTAAAAGGCAGGCTAGGGGGAGAAACATCCAATACATTTAAGACAAGGCAAAAATGAGAGGAAGGATGCTAAGCTGAGAAACATAAAAACATGTTTCTCTGCTCTGCTTAGGGCAGAGGGCATTGATGTGGCAGTTGGGTGTAGATTTTCCCATATTATTCATTTAGTTTTCTATCTGCCTGGATCTTTTGACTTTGTTAGGTGGCGTTAGTATGAATTATCAAGAAATGTGGCACATAATCTGGCCACTTGTGTGTGCGTGATGTTGGAAAAATCATTGCTTTTCTCATAATCTCCTTCGAGATTCCAGACCACTTATCTCAAAGTAGCAGTTGTGTAATCTCATCTGCTCACCAAAGGATGGAATTAAGATTAGTGGTATAGCATATGTAAAGATCTTGAGTTTCTTAAGAGAACAAACAATAGAAATATAAAATGTCACTCAACTTGTTATTGAAAAGATTTACCTCCTACCACTCAACTTGTCCCATAATTGGATAATCATTCAAAAACTTTACATTACTAAGCTGTCCTTTCTCTTGTTCCTGAGTAGTAAACACTATTTAGAGGCATTCAGGTCTTAGGTAACAATAAAAATAGCATTAAAATCATGAGTAGCAATTATGGTTCTGTTTCTGAGCTCAGAAGAACATTTGTGTATTTGAACATAAATGATCAAGACACTGCATTACAGAGGCATGAGGATGGTGAATTCCCATTGATGACTCTAAGAAAGCCTCCTGGGTCTGAGCAAAATCAAGGGCAGATTGAGACAAGAAGTTGGAATTATAGACTAACACAGTGTTATGATCTCCAAGATTATTTGCTACAGGGGGGTAGAGGTAGGAAAAATACGGCTTGGGCGCCTGTGACCTTGAGCAAGCTACTTAGCCTCTTTATGGCTCAATTTCTTTATACACAAAGTGGGAGTAATAGTGTGCATTCAACAGGAGACTTCAGGGAGATAGACTTTTGCAATGTGCTGTGACTCTAGTATTAGAAGTCTAATAAATGGTACTGTTTTTTAATTTAACACATCAACTCATATTAACGCAGAAGCTGAACCAACCCACTGCATGAAGTCCTCATAGGATACTTTAGTTACTTTAAAGGGTTTCATTAATATAACACTCATTTTCATCTAAGTGGTGGTTCATAGATATTTGGGAACGCTTAAATAGTATGAAAAGGTATTCTTCCTCCAATTCTAGTCTGCTTAAAAAAGTATTCAAAGCCACTGTGATAAAACTGGTATGGTACTGGAAAAAACCAAACCAAACCAAAACAAAACACAAAAACCAGATCCAAAGACCAATGGAACAAATTAGAAGAAGTAAACCCAGTCACAAACATACTCAGTCACCTTATCTTTGACAAAGGGGCAAAACTTATTTGCTGGAAGTAAGATAATCTGTTTAATAAATGGTGCTGGAAAAATTGGTTTTCCATGTGTTGAAGACCAAAATTAAACCCATGCCTATCATCATGCACTAAATTAAGGTCAAAGTGGATCAAAGATGTAAATATTAAAACAGAAACACTAAATCTACTGGAAGAGAAAGTAGGTAGATATCTTTAAGACACAGAAGTAGGCAGAGTTCATGAGTAAAAATCAGACTACCCAGGAAGTACTTCAAAGAATCAACAACTAGGATCTCATCTTATTAAAAAGTTTTTGCATCTCAAAAGAAATCACCAACAGAGTGGAAAGAAAACTAAGAGAATGGGAAAAAATGTTACCTAACTGTCCTTCAGACAAAACACTTCTATCTCAAACATATGAAGAATTGTAAAAAACTAAGAATCCTCCCCCAGTTCAAAGACCCACTCCAGAAATGGGCATCAAAGATAAATACACACTTCTCAGCTGAAGAATACAAATGGCAAATAAATACATGAAGAAATGTTCAACATCACTGGTCATTCAAGAAATGCAAATTAAAACAACACTGGGATTCCTTCTCTCCCCAGAAAGAATGTCTGTCATCAAAAAATCAAGTAACAAATGCTAGCAGAGCAGCGGGGAGAAGGAACACTTCTCCACTGTTGGTGGGTGTGTAGACTGTACAACCATTGTGGAAATCAATGTGGAGATTCTTCAAAAAACTCAGATTAGAGGTCGAATTTGACCTAGCTAGTCCCCTTCTGAGTGTTTTCCCAGATGAATTAAAAACATCATAGCACACACTTATAGAAGCACAATTTGTAATAGCTAAGTTTTGCAAACAACCCAAATGCCCATCAACTGAGGAATGGATTAAAAAGATGTGGTATTTTTATACAATGGAGTACTATTCCGCTGTAAAGAAGGAAAAACTCAAGGCTTTTATAAATAAATAAATTCAACTAGAGTCCATACTCACAAAGGAAATAAACTAGACCCACATGTGTAAACTGTCTCTCTAGTGTAAGAAACTGAAAAATAAATAAGACTCAAAAATCTAAAACAGATACTGTGAAAGGGAAAGAAACAGCTCAAAAGAAACAACTGGGATGGGTGAAAGGATAAAAGAATGAAAGGAAAAGAAAACATATATATAAATATATATATATATACATAAAAGATAGCTAAGATAATTATACAACTTATATTACTTATATTGTTTGATCAATTATGCATGCCTATATCTTGTAATCTGAGCAATTACTTGAAGATAACAAATGCAATACATTAATCATTGTCAATTTCCTGTTACCTTGCTTTTGAAATTCTGTATCTTTGTTTTTATTGTTTTTTCTCTTTAAAAAGTATTAAAAGTATCTTCACATGTTTGAAAAGAATTTGTTGAGGAAGCTTAATTTTCTGTACTATTACAGATAATGAGTTCCAGAGTTTGAGCTCCATTTTTGCCACCTTTATGAAAGGATACACTTGGTGAGGTGCCAACTGTCCCCTTATCGACTGCAAAGCATTTGCTCCTTGACAAAACTCTGACTTTAGCATGCAGGCCTTCGCGGGATGAGGAGGGGAAACCAGGACTTTCTGCACAACATCACCTGTAGCTCACTTGCTCAGCTTCTGATGTAGCCAGCTTTGCTCTCCCTAACCCTTAGCCCAGCCAAACTTAAAAGCTTTAAATAACCCATAACAGTTTGTTACTATGTATTCAGAGTGTCATGCTTTTAGGGGAATCAGGGTACTACTGGTGTTTGTTTGCAGGGAAGAAGCCTACAGAGACATACCCAATGTCCAAACACACCCCAAATCTTATGGCTCCTGACCTTAAGCACCATTATCTACTCTTGGTGTTCTTGGTGGCTGTCCATGAAACAGAAGCTATTCTGGAATTGCACAAGTCAAAGCCAAATTGTTTGGGACTTACCATCAGTGACCTGAGGAATAGGAAATAAAGTAGTGGTCCCTCCTTTCAGGGCAAGCATGGGATTTTATGTCAGATTTGTTTTTCCTAGGGCTCAGCCAGAACATCTTGTTATTTTTAAAGGACTGACTACTTCTGCATGCTTTTTCAATCATGGCTATGAGTCCCATTTTAACTTCCCAGGGGCAACAGGAGCACTGCCAGCCCCAGGAGCTCAACTTCTCTTTCTGCACAAATTCTATCACCTTTCTCAGAGAACGTTAGTATTGGTGGCATCTTACAATCCCTATTGTGTTGTCCTGATTCTCAACCAGAAGACCTAGGAACTTCAGAGAGCATGGAGGAAGAGGAGGACAGGGCACCACAATTATAATAAGCCAGTTACTTGTAGCATTTATCTTTTCAACAATCCTATGAAGTATGTTTTATAGATAGGACAAAAGTATCTCAAGGACATTAATGACTTGGGAGGCAGAAAATGGTTAACATGCCAAAAATCACACAGCTAGTGAATGACAGACCTATGACCTGATGTTTCTCTAGCCCAAAGCACACATTCATTCTAATATGCTGTTTCCCTACCTTGCCTGTCTTAGTATCACAGAGGGACTTAATAAGAATTCTATCCCTTGTACTCTACTGTAGAGCCCTGTAACCAGAATCTCCATGGGACTGGCTGGGAGTCACCTTGATGACAAGAGTTTCCGGGTGACTTCTATGCACAACAGATTTGGGAAAGGACACCTCTAAGGGAGGGAGTTGATTTCAAATCTGAGTGACATTAGAGCTGTGACACAAGTGTTGCAGATTTTCTGATTTGCTTTCAAAAATAGCTTAATAAGTGACTTAGGGGGAAGGCCTAGGCATTGGTGATTTTACAATCACTTCTGCATTATTACCCTGCAGGTAGTCAGAGGACTTGGAAAAGCATTGATTGAATAATGAGAAAGATAGGCTTTCTCAAGTAATAAAATCATTAATATTGGAAATGACTCACTTCACAACAGTCTAAGGAAAATTACTTATCTTGGATTAAGGGAAGAATTTCTACAAACCTGATGATAAATGATTAGACCCAGAAAAAAGATAAACATTAGTGACAGAAAAAACACTCTGATCACTGTTCCCCTTCCCTAATATTCCTGATCCTCAGCTTTCATCTGGAATATTCCTTTCCTTTTCCTGTCTTCAGAGTTAAAATAGTTCTTTCTCTAAGACTCAATTCACATAATACTTTCTTCTCCAAGTTTTCTATTTCTTATGCTTGTTGTTTTTAACTGGCTGTACAGCAGGTTACATCTACCTTTGCAGTCTAATTCTTGGGTACCTGAAATGCATATTCTCAGAGGACTGGCATCTGTACAGCTTCAGTTTTGACTTCTCAGTCCCCCGGGAAAAGCCTTTTATTTAGCAAGAGTGAAACCCATGACACTCCCACAGCCTTTGTTGAGTACCTGCTGTGCTCTCCGCACTGTAACAAGTAATTTACATTGGAACTGTTCCTATGTTGCAGGTGAAAGAAATAAGGAACTGGAATGAAGAAGTTGCTGCTTTTTGAAGGGTTTTAAAAATTAATTAATTAATTAATTAACCTGTTAGGCAATCTGAACCCTGTGGGTTCAAGGAAACAGTACTTAAAAAGAATCTTAACTTTCTAACCTAGTGCATCTAAGTCACTTGGGTAGCTACCTAAAACACAAAGTGCTAGGTCCTCCCACCAGAGCTTCTGATGCAGAAAGTCTGTGGTAGAATTTGCGAGTTTGAATTTCTAGCTTGTTTCTAGGTAATGCTTATTCAGATGGATGGGGGACTCCATTGAGATCCACTGCCCTAGGTCAGTGTTCCTGACGCTGTGCAAGCTAAGGGCAAACAACTGGCCCTTCTATCACAGATGCAATAACATGAAGAGATGATGAAGGGAAGTCAAAGCTAACAGAAGCCAAGGGTAAATGCTTTTCATAGGTGTGATCCTCACTGCTTTCACCAAGGAGGCAGCAGAACGATGGTCAGCCAACAGACAGACAGGGAAGCCTTGTTCAGGGAGTTATCCAGGACTTTTGGCTTAAGCAATTGTATGTTCCTTGGAATGATTTGTTTGGTTGCAATATTTATCAATACAAAATTAGGTGACTGCATTTGTTGAGGAGACAGACCAGCAGAGGGCCCACTGACTCTCAGGACCTTGTGTAATATGTACAGAGAGATCATAATAATAATATAATTCAGTGCAATAATACAGACTGACCATGAAGCTTTTTTAGCTCTAAGATATTTTTCTTTTTTTAAAAAAATGCTCCTATTAGTGTGCGAGGATTAAGAATGGTTTAATATCTAAGATGTAATAGGGAATCTTTCCAAAGAATTTAATCACTCAGGGACTTTGTCAAAAAAGTGTAACAGTTCACATTGTCTTATTGGGGACATGGCGGGGATGGGGGGTCATCTGAAACCTAGCCTCGTTTAGCAATTGAATAGTTGAGATAAACAACATAATAAAAAATTCTTTTTGAGTTGCTTGAAAAAAATTAATATACATTTAAAATATTTTTCTGAGGTACTTGAAAGGCGAGTTGCAAGTTCAATGTGACCTGCTGTCAAGTTCTTGCCCATCTACCTTTAGATAGCATCTAACACTGGTAACAACTCTTTTTTAGGTAATGAACCAGCCCCTTGGGTGATAATTGGAAATCTCTGCTTTCACTGTATATCAGTTTTTCAGGCCCATCCTCAGGCCCTCTCTGCCTCTGTTTCAAGCCTCAAGGCAGAGAGGCAGGTCCACCCTCAGGACTAGCCAGCAAGTCATCCTCACACACAGCCCTGCAGCCGGGGCTGTTTCTCTCATTCATTTTCCCTCACAGCTCTGCCTGTTGGCCCTGGATTCTTGTGTCCTCTCTTGCCTATTTGAGACACAGAACTTGTAACTTCACCTGCTTCTATAGAACGCTGCCTTGCTGGCTGTCGATGATAGATCCCCCGCAGGGCTTCCCAAAAATTCTCAAAGAAAGAAAGACAGATGGGCGAGGCAGGAACAGCCAGGGGACGATTAGAGGAGAAAGCAGCATGCAGAGCGAGCTCAGCACATACCTGGGGAGAGGTGCAGGCTGGTGCCACCTCCTCTGTGGGCTTTCTTCCCGCAGGCTTCTGTCCCCATTGACATGTTTCGCAGAATATTATTTATTTACTTCCAGGGCTGGCAGTGTTGGCTTGCATTTCTATGCCTTCCTGTCAGAATCCTCCCCGAGAAACAGCAGCTGGTGCGCTCAGAAATGTCAGTCAGAATCCTGGCCTAGTTTGGGGCCTTAAAGATTCTTACAGAAAGTTAAAAAGGTTTCTGGGCCAGTGCCTCCTCTGGGCTTTTCCTTTCCTGCTTCTCACCTTTTCTGTCTTCTATTTTTTTCTTTTCTTTTCTTTTTTTTTTTCCTATCCCAGTAGCTGGCTGCTTAAATTGCCTGCTTCTGTCTTTCTGATGGTCCCCTCTTGGGTATGGCTGTGGCTCTTCTGGGTGAGCCCAACAGCCTGGGGATTTTCTAAGCATTTAGATATGCACTTGGGCACCGATAACTTATTTGATCTCCTTACTGATTTCCCTTTTCCTCACTTTCCTTTCCTCTGATCTCTTTAATCCCTACCCTCTTAGTGACCTAGAGAAACCATCTTCCTGAGCACATTGTCTGTCTTTCCCAACTAGTTGGTCGTTTCCCCATCTGTGTCCTGTTCACCCATTTGTCTTTATTCTTTCCTTCTGTCATTTTTTTCTAGTTGTATCTCTGACTTGGGTGCTGTTCAGATGTGACCTCTCCTCTCCTCTCCTCTCCTCTCCTCTCCTCTCCTCTCCTCTCCTCTCCTCTCCTCTCCTCTCCTCTCCTCTCCTCTCCTCTCCTTTCTTCTCCTCTCTCCTCTCCTCCTCAGCCAGTCTCACTCCCTGTCTTCTCTGTATCTGCTTCCCGAAGGCAAACCTCTGGTTTTTGTACTCTCCAACCCTCTGCCCACCCCCAGCACACTCTCCCACCTGTTTGTGTCTTTTAAGAGCCTTGGTCATGTCCATGCCTTCTGTCCACCTCAATCACCCCAGTGACGGGCTTCTAAAAGCTGTTAAATTACACTTCTTCAGCTGTCCCATTGCAAAGAGAAATTGTCCTTTGCTAACTCCTTTTTCAGATAGTCAGATCCATATTAATGTTTCTATTTATGGAGTATACTTACACTATGGCTATATTACTTTAAAGAGCGAGATTATTAGTTTTTTGAAATGAATGAATGTTTATCTCTGATATTAGGTTTCTTATCAATTGTATCAAAGTTATACCATTTAAAACACAGCTAATTTAGGCCACTTTTCAAATGGGAGTGGGTGTGGTGATGTTACAAAACATGATTGGTTTAGGATTTGACTTTAATGCTCAATAACATATAATTAGTGAGTGGCTCCCAAAATCACAGCTCATCATGTTAAGCACTAATAGGAGAAGGAAAGCCTGCATTCCCTGCCTTTGAGAGGCTTACAGGCTCTTTTAGGGGTGGAACTTGAGTCTGGGAGGACTATATGTATAAATCCAGTGGGATATATATGTATGGTACAGTATGATGCGTAAGAAAATAAGTAATATTGGCATTCAGAAGGAGAGACTGCTGAGTGGTGGGTCAGGCAATGATAGCTTCATGGTGGGGGTTGGGTTTCAGCTGAGTTCTGAAGGACAGGGAGGGCTTACCTACATGGAGAGGGGCGGGAAGGGTCTTCTAAGATAGGGCGGCAGCCTGGAAAAATGCACACAGGCAGGATAATGCAGTCCGGATAGGAGATGCTGATCAAGTGTGACTAGATCCAGTGCGCTGTGAAGGATTCATCTGGGGAAGGCTGTGGGCACAAAGCAGCCATATGGAATGTGCAACGGTAAGAGGTCTCACTTTTCTGAGTCTCTTAAGGCCACATATATATAGGATCTTCCTCTAAAAAGCGATGCTATAATGTTGACATAGTTTCTACAACTTAAATGAGTATGAATTTGAATTCCCTGATATTTATAGTAATACCTGAATAACCATTTTCTAAAGTTTGTTGCTATTGAATAGTCAGAAAGAAACAGACGTTTCTCTCCTTAAGTATTAAACTTATATTTCCCATCTTTTCCCCTGAAGTTTCTTACTGAAGTTTGTTTGCACAAGTATAGAAACTGCTACAGAAACTCCATCTTGGCCTACCAGCATTGTTTCGTCTCACATGGTCTGTGCTAAACTCTGCTCAACACATTTCCCTCCTTCCTTGAAAGCTCAGCTTCCAGTGGCTGGATTATGCAGTCATTATGGGTCCACACACACTTTCACATGTCTTCACACTGTTTAAAATTCGTTATACAGTTTTTATGAGTCTGGAATTTATAACACTGTAAACACCTGGGGGTCAAGTTTATACTTACTTTTCTTTCTTTCTTTCTTTCTTTCTTTCTTTCTTTCTTTCTTTCTTTCTTTCTTTTTCCTTCCTTCCTTCCTTCCTTCCTTCCTTCCTTCCTTCCTTCCTTCCTTCCTTCTTTTTCCAGCAGAATGTAACACATAAAGAAGGCTCTTAATAAGTACTTGTTAAAATAAAACAGAATCAAAAGATTTATTTGCTAAAACTCTATAGTACAAACTAAACTCAACAGAGGATGCCATCTTTTTAATGTTCAATCAATCTTTTAGTTCTTTATTGTTTTGCCTAAAGTCAAGAAGGCGCGCATGTTAATGTAATAATTTATCTGAATAGGATCATACTTTACATTTTGAAGCTAAAAAATGAGCCTCAAGGACTTTCTTGGGTAGACATGTCAGAGAGAGATTGGTGTTAAAATTTGGAAGATGAGGAATCAGATATAAAGCAACAAAGGAATTACATGGCCAGTTACTGAAAAATCGTACAATCAGACCAAGTCTTAGGACCTGGATCAGTTCTATTTTCTCCTCTGTTTAAGTCAAGAATCTTGACTTTTGCTTTGCCTAAAGTCTTATCCAAACCAGATTGCTTTTAATGATACAAGTGGATGGATGAAGTAGGAGGGAAGGTGAAGAACAGGAGAATCTCTTCCTGAAATTCTAACAAGGGCTCTTCCCCATGGAAACTCTGGAAACCAGAGAAAAAATAAAATTAGAACCAATATGAGCGCAGCCGCTCACTATTTTTCAAGGCCTCTTACTCGGTTACTTCATTTAGTTCATGAAGGCACCAGTACCAGGTTAGCCGGATACTTTCCACTGGCCTCAGGACTAGAATCTGGGTAACATGGTGATTGTCTCTTGTTTAGTGCAGAGGCCTTGGAAGAGGCTTCTCTTTCTGAAAGCTTCCACGAGAGAGTGTGGTGGTGGTGGGGGGGGAGAGAATACTCAGGGTGGCTTTTTCACCTCTTAAAGACCTTCAGCAGCAACTAGAACCTTGTGCATGTGAAAGGGGAGGGACCTACAACTGTGCGGGAATGTGGAAGACAGCCTGTTCATGGTAAAAATCACTCCAATGCTTTGTAGTGGGCCCAGCTACTGAATGTCACAAGAGTGATAATATTAATAATGAAATCATGGGATGATAATAATAAATCCTTTGAAATGCTTCCAGAACTACATATTGGAGGCTTTAGACACCAGTGGGCAGCTGCTTGGCTAAATGTGGTCCCCAGTTGTCAAGAACAGACCCACTCTGATCTGGGAGAAACAAATCAACAAGCGGGTGGGGGCACACAGGATGTTACCACTTGGGGTACCATCTCTGCCCTCAAGGAAGTAGAAATATGAAAATTCGCTTGAAATTTAAGTTTGATCTTAGAATTTTAATTTTGACTTTGAAATGAAGGCTCATATGGCTTTGTAAGCTGGCTTGTGTAGATCAGAGGTCAAGTAAAGTATCATGTATCTCAGCTGATTGTTCTGTTTCCAACCAAATGGTTGACAGTTGTCAGTTACCATAGCTAGACACCTACGAGGAGGGTATTGTTAGCAATGAACTTGCATTTTTTACTTCCAAGACAATTGTTTCCTCAGATCTCCAAGGGTTGAACTTACCACCTACTGTGTGGTTGCCAGAAACAACTGATTCTCACCTTCATGTTTCTGTCTAAGGATAGAAGTCCCTCTCTTTTAGATGTTTTTGGAGAATTAAAGGACTTAGTTTATTTTATTTTGTTTCAATTGTCCTTTTGATACGGTGAGCAATATGTGATGTGTTAAGGGAAGAGACAAGTTTGGGTTTCATAAATGTAGATTTAGAGGTGGGTAGGGTTAACTTTGGTGACTGTGGAGTTGAGGTATTTCCAACCCCTGGAAAGGGAAAATTTAGTTCAGACATTTTATTCTGCAGTAAGGAAATGAAGCCTTGAGAGCTAAAGGAGTGTGTGTGTGTGTGTGTGTGTGTGTGTGTGTGCACGCATGTGTGTGTGTGTGTGTGTGTGTGTTTTCCAATGTCACTTTTGGAATCAACACCAGAACCAGGGTCAGAACTCAGCTGACCTTTGGCTTCTGATTCACACACTTATATCAGGCCTGGTTTGTTCTCATTATTGCGATGATATAAGATGATTAATTATCGGTAAGTAGTATTTTACTAGACAAATACAAAGGTTATTTTATTGAAATGTGTCACCAACAAGTCCCGAAGGCAGAGAAGCGATGCCTTGAACACCAGCTGTTCCCGAAGGGTTTTCCCAGCTGCTGCCATGGCCAGCTCTGTGGTGGAGAAGCCCAGAAGTGGGGTATTCCAGATAGCACTGGGCCAAATTAGGTCAAAGGCAAAAAAGTTGAAGCTATTTGAGAAACAGGTGTAAACAATGGAAAATTCATTTGGTTAGATGTGTGCTTAAATCAGCACAAAATCTACTCTGTTGCTTGATTTTGGAAGAAAAAAATTTTTGTTTCTTCTTTTCCTCTTCCCTTTTCCTTCTATTTCTTATTCTTTTTTAAAAAATTTAACATTTGAGGCTTCTTAAAATTTAAAATAAACTGGAAAAATAATTTAACTCTCTTTAACTGAAGAGATGTGGAAGAAAAATTGATTATTAGTCATCTGGTCTCCCTGCACCATAGGACAAAGGAACATATGATTTCAATGCAGCAAAAAGGTTTTAGTTAAGTTTAGAGGAAATTAAATTGTTTGGCTCCTACTCTGAGACAATTTCATGCTTTCAGATATTTTTTCTTATATAATCATATAAAACTACTGTGTGGTCCACATACATGCTAAATTCCAGGGCAGGGTTTGTTTCCTTTATCTTTCTTATTTTGTTACAGCTTTCTGTAGTCAGATTATTTTAAAATATATAAGCCACGCCCTATTTGTGTATTACTGAATTTTTAAAAATGACATCCCCATTGTATCTGATTCTTAAAATTGTAGTTGTCCAAAGGATTTACCTTCTGATGCATTGAAAGTATGGATACTTACAGTTCAAATGTTATAGCATCTTCAAAGTGTACCCAAAGGAGTCCAATCCAAAGCAGTTTGACACCTACCATCTTTCATTAATGAATGAGAGAAGCAAGCAAGAGGACCAAGAGGCTGGAAATTGGCAACATTTTTTTTTTCTTCTGGAACCTATATTTTCTCATTTTATTTCCTACAACAAATTCTATTTTAATGTAGTGTATTGTGTTTGCAAGGGCTTTATATATTATCCTGTCAGACTTCTAGATGAATTATATACAAACATTTAAATTAAACTTGAGAATAAGACCTTTTATCTAAAAAATAAAAAGTTCTGATTTTTTGTGACCTTAGAGCTAAATTTTAAAAGTTTTCTTTTGGATTAAATTATTATTATGATTATTACTTTTATATGGTTGCTCAAAGTAGCATAAATATATTGCAAATAATAATTACA